GCAGTGTATGAAAGGTGTTATATTAATAAACTTGCCTTGCCTTGCTTTTTAGAGGCATGAAACTCTTCCTATCACCACCTCTGTGAACAGTTCTTTAGAATTCAGCATTTCACACCAAACCACTCTGAATGACTTTGTTTGCATCTTAACCATTTAATCTTACAGAAATTTTGAAAAATCGGTGGAATTGCTCTTCAAAGGAATAGTTTTCTGAACTATCAAATTTACACAAAGTTTGCTGTCTTTCACTTTTGCTCTGGAGTTACGAGGCTAATGTAGCTAACAGGCAATGGAAGCATTATAAAATATAAAAATAGACAAAACTGGTAAGGTTATTATTTATTAATCATGTAATATAATCCACTTTATTTGGGTAGCCTTCTAAAGAGGATCTACAGATGTTCAAATTATTAACAAACTGTCTGGAGAGATGCATTGAATTCTCGATCTCAATCAGTGGAACAGGGTCCGGCTTAGGATTAGGGCCAGCGTGATGGTTAAGTTTAGGCTTTGTGTTGAGGTTGAGGTTAGGGTTAGGATAAGTGCCTGGATTTGATAAGGTGGAGTTAATAGTTAATAAATAATTAGCTGTGTAAGTTAAAAGCAAATTAAGCATCTACAAAGCGTTTACAGAGGGCTTTTCAAATGAAGTGTTACCGTTTAAAGCTCTTTTAGTTACTCGTTGGTGACATTAGCCTCGTAGTTTCAGTGCATGGCTAAAAAACAGTTCTGTTAGTATAACTTACTTTGAGAACAGATGTAAAAAGATTGTGCAGTGAGTTTTTGTTATTGTTCATGAGAACTTGGTGCATTCAGTGAACTCTTCAGGGACTGTCGACATGGCTCATGACTCCGTGTTCAGTAAAGAGTTCTTCTGCACTGGGGTGAAAACCGTTAAAGAACATGATGGTCATAATAGATAAGCACTGTGATCAGAGTAGATAACATCATGACATCATGAGTGACACTCTTTCTTGTTAATGTGTTCAGACTGTGGAAATGCTTCTCTCCCTGTTTGTGTCTCAGACAGAGGTGTAGCAGCACCAGATGTTTGTGAAAGTAGACAGTAGACTGGATCCTGTTTGGTCAACTCTCGCTGCATAAGAGCAAAGACACTGTTGTGCGTTCTGGACAGTTAGATTGGTGATTTTTTGTGAAAGTGTGTGTGAGTACAAGAAAAGCCTGAAGCGCTTCTCCTGCATATTCATGAATTCGAATATGAATGTGATTGTGTACATTTTATCTTCTGAATACAACAATGTTTTAATGAGTTGAGTTTAAAGTGAAGTCAAAATCTGTTGCATTGTAACTGTGATTAGATCTTGAAACTACTTTGTCCATTGTTTTTATGTGACTTCAAATCCACCTTGGTGTGTGATATTCAAATACTACTCTAAAAATCAAGGTGCCAAAAAAGGTTCTTTGAAAAGATTCCATTGACTAATCAATGTTGGTTCCCTGAAGAACCTTTCAGTAGATGACAACTGTTTTGACATTTGAAGAGCTTGCAAATTAAGGCTACATCCAAGCCAAGAACCATTCAGGAAACTTCATATTTAAGAGCGTATTATGGTTGCTAAACATTTCACAGTGTTCTATGTGATGTCTCTGGTCCCGATTTTGGCTCAGCTGTAGTCTCTACAATACAGTTTCCTTCACTGATATGCTGGTAATACATGGCCTTATTGCCGGAAGAGTGACTGTGTTGTCCTGTTAGCAAGTTTGCAAAATATGACTCCGTTCTGGCTGTGGAGAGGTTAACACAGTTTGCACATTTAAAGCGTTGTTTCTGGTAATCCACAGCCTGGTTGTCAGAGATCATAGCGATGTGAGAAATCTCCCGAGGACGCAGCGAGGGACTCTCTTCACACAATGCCCCTCGATGTTTACAACAGACAATTTAGTTTCCTTCCAACAATTATGAGGGAAATTGAATCTCAGGAAATGTTCGTTTTCGCGTCCATTAGACCAAACAATAACAGGGAGGCCCCGAAGCTTTACAAAGACATCTGTCTTCAAAGGGACCATTTAGAAAATTAATATCCAAAGCCTGGCAGGACAATGCAGCCAATGAGCAAGTCACATTGCAGGCGGCAGCGTTTTCTTTTCACTTGCTGTAAACTTTGGCTGGGGAAACGATGGCATTCTTAAGCAAAAGTGGCCAATCAATGGCCAAAACAATCGCTCTAAAAATACACTTACCTTTCCATAGACCCATTATGTAGTTCATGGGTCTAATTTTAGAGGTTTTTCATTTTCAAGAGATATTCCCGATAAGTTTAGATACAAGATAATCCATTTGCATAAGGTTGGGAAAAGAAAAAATGGGCAAAAAATAGTTTCCAAAACTAGAAAACAACCAAAATTCCAACAACCGTGCAAGACCTGTTAGACCACTAAAATTGTCCCCATCAGATAAACAGCACTTAAAGCTTTCATCTTTAGAAAACAAGCAAAAATCAAGCTGCTTCAGATCTGAAAAAATCCACAGGTGTTTCTGTTCATCCTTCCACTGAAGACCACTCAACACTGTGGATGTGTAGCTCTCAAGCAGCTGTTACTGAGTAAATCGCAGAGACAAATAAAATTTGCAAATCAAACAAAGAAGATGCTGGTCCTCTCAGAACAATGGACTGACCACCCCAGGGTCCAGACCTCAGCATCATAGAATGCGTTTGGGCTCATGAGAAGCAGAAAGTACACAAGCAGAAAAATATCCTTACAGATTTCTTTGAGATCCTCCTGGAAGGAATGGAAGTTGCAATAGAAAGTGGACACACTTAATACTAAAATAATATATTTAGTTGTTGAGCATGTCGTCGCTGTCCAAAAACTATATATATATATATATATATATATATATATATATATATATCCTTTTTTTGCGATTTTTAGTTTTCTGCATAATTGATGGTTCAGCTGCGGCCCAATACATTGTATTTCTTGATGATTGGACCAATAGTAATGCTCCAGAATTGCTTCAAAAAAAATATGACAATATATCGGTCCACCGGCTTGACAAGGCTAGGACTGTATGCCATTGCTGGTCCACCCTTGGGCCACCCAGAGTATTGTCCTGTATACAAAGTCTAGCTAGTTTTTAATCTCAAACAGATTTTAAATGCACATAGAATTTTATTTAGGAAATCAACTAAGACAAATATTAAAAACAAAAAAACATGGACTGCAGTGTTGTTGCTGATACTGTGCTAGATTAAAATTATTTGCTAAACTAATTTACAACTGATAGAAATTACAGAAGAAAAATTTACAAAAGAAAGAAATGAAGGTAAAATAAGTCAATGGGACTGTGAGTAAAAAAAAGGGAGATAAAAAGTGGCATTTTGTCTAATGCTTTGCTTAACCTCCAGAAACATAGACCCAGAGAGCAAGAGGACAGTGGGCCACTGATGGCCTGCTGAGAGCAAAGCATGGTGGCCCACTGTCCTCTTGCTCTCTGGGTCTGTGTCTCCCTGTTTCTGAAAAATGAATAACTTATAATGGCTTGTGATTTGTCTTTGACTTTAAAAAGGTTATGAATGAATGTGCAGTCTCAGGCTAAAACACAGTAGTGTATAGACTTTTCCAATCTACTTTTCGTTACCGAACACTTCAGGCCAAAGAGATTCATGTATAAGATTTTCAGCCTTGTAGAGAAGGTGAATTATTGGGACATCATAACAACAGAGGTCTTTTATTTAAGTAATATATGCTAGGCAGGTGAAATCGGAGGTCCTTGCTTCTGTCCTTTTCCACGGCCGTGGATTTGCTAAAAGTATTTGTTTGCAAGATAAATGGCCGTTCGGTGAGAGAAGATGACAGGCAACACAAAGATGATATTGAATTGATTTCTGAAATGTTGCAGAACTGACTGTTTGATGTATACGGGCAGACATGAATCATAAAAATTCTATTAAAAAAGCTCTTGAATGGTTGACAGCGGAATATTATTTCTGATGATTAATTTGACTCAGTCATTATGGAAGGGGCTCCAGTCAGATCGCCTCCCACAAAATTGCTTTTCATTCCCCCTTGAATAGCCCTGCTATTTCTCTCTCTCTCTCTCTTTCTGTTTCTTTCTCTCTCTCTCTCTCTCTCTCTGTCCTTTTAGTTGTCTCAGTCTTTCCTTTTCTGTTGAATGTAGAGTCACATTTTTCTTCTGTCAAATCCAGTTTTAAATGTACCTGGCTGATCAGTGGAAAATGCAGAGTCGTGCATTAGTATGTAAAAGAAAAACGAAAAATGATAGCAAATCATTCTTTCATCCGTGGAAGTGGTAATCTAATGATACAGTAGCACATGCTGATTGCGACTATGCATAATTCCATGTTCCAACCATCTTGGAGCAATTTGGAGGCAAAATCAGAATGACTAATTACTAATCAGGGCCTGTTTCCCAAAAGCATCATACTGTTAAATGTAGTCTTGTAGTCCTCAATGTGAGCTAGACTGTGTAATAATACTCTGTGTTCCGGCTTATGAGCTTTGTTCTTTGCCACTTTTTGGAAACTCATCTCAGAATTACCGTACCAGCGATCTCCTTTTTACGTTTTTCACATTCTACATTTTTCTCTTATGATATATTTTTAGTTCACGTTTAACATTTATATATTTTTAAGTTCGAAAAAAGAATTTGGAAGAAATTTTGTATGGAAATTCTCAACGATCCTTAGGGAATTGCGCTTCTGCCTGGTTGATCTGTTGGAATGCTGCAGAATGATCCATTTGCTTCTTGACAGCCAGGAACAGCACAACGTTTAACCACATCTTCCACTCCAGTCACTCTGCTACAGACTGTGTGCAGTAACATCAACATCAATGAGCAGCTAAAATGCTGTGGGCCTAAACAAGTGGTCATATGTTAAAGTTTTCAGAAAGGAAAATTTGTTTTTCCATTATATTAATCCTTCAGAAGTGAAATTTGTGTCTTTCCATGTTTGTTTTATAACTTCATAACAACAATTTCTTTCTCTCACCGTCTCCTCCTTTTGTTTCTCCAGCAGAACTACTCTGGTCAGGGTGGAGGTAGTGGGAACGGAGGAGGTGGGGGTGACGAGGATTACGAGATTCCCCCCATAACCCCACCAAACCACCCCGAGCCGCCTTTGCTGCACCTGATGGACCCGGAGTCCAGTTACCTGTGTCACTCCCTGCCCCACAATGGCCTGATCAACCCCTACTCCTACCCTGAACTGCCCGCCCTCATGATGTCCAACATGCTGGCACAGGACGGCCACCTGCTCTCCAGCCAAATGCCCTCGGTGAGTTACCATCGCAGGGTACCCGAAGGCAGCATGAGGGGCTGGCAAGAGAGGGAGGGTTTGAGGGATGATGGATGGATGGGGATGGATGGATGGATGGATGGATGGGGGGATTGACATGCTCTTTGCTGATTCTCTTTTAGCATCTTGATGGCTTTGTGTTGTGCACAATTACAGGATCATATTGTAAGCTTCAAAATGTTTTACTACATATGAGCATTTTTTACTTAATGTTGTTATAGATTATAGGAAAACATCACTTGCATAAACATTTGTGACAATAACTGAAAAGACCACAATAAAAAGGCTATATGTTACCCACCCCCCCCCAACAAAACTACTTTGGCAGCTACATGCATTCATTTTATCCAGCCATTTCTGCTCATATGAAGGAAGTCTGTCCAAGTGTGCTGTTATTATTCTGTGTTTGAATTAGACTACAGGAGCTTGTGGAACCATAGTATTGATCAGCACACAAACACTGTGAACTACAGTGCTCAACAGCAGTCTTGGGACACTCTGAATACAATTAATGTCTTGTTTGTTTATTACTTTCCAAACTAAAGTTATTATTTATTCATTCACACCCATCAGAAAAGGAACCACCAATAATGACCAGGTTTACTAATTGAAACTCAAAATGATGCTGGTAGTTAATTGAAAATGTAAGTAAGGCAAGTAAAAGTACTTAAACATTAGTTGTCTCTCTGTATTTAGGGTTAGTACTTTGTCACATATCCCTTCTTTTGGAAAACAGACAGATCTTTCAGGCATGAAATGCATGAGATTGCATGAGCCTTGTGGGATTTTCAGTTTTGGATGACCAAAGCGTGGCAGGTTTTAAATGCTTGCTATCTCTGTGCACTACTTCAGTGCATTGTTCACACTTAATTTTGGATTTTTCAAACTAAACTTTCTCACAGTTTCAGTGTCTGTGTTTACATGCAAAGATTTTTGCCAATCCGATTGAATACATTCTGAATATAGATTCAGACTGAGGTGTTTATCTGCTCACTCTGCTCAGCAATCTGATGGAAAATCTCAGTTTACATGTGCGCTACAAGTATTTCGATCCAAAATTATGCGCATGTGTAGAGAACCACTTAGTGTAGACGTTACCTTGACAACAAGCATCACGTGAGTCCAGTCAGAGTGAGATGAGCAGCAGTGAGCAGTGCTTGTGTTTTTAATAACTTTAAATGATGTCAGACTCAGGAAAACGTACTTCACATGAACTTATTAAAGAAGGATGAGAGGAAGACGTCGTTTTCTGGGACACATAAGCTGGACGTCCGTCCCACCGCCGTCTTTTAAAGATCAGAGCATAAACTTCGTCTCCTCTGCAGACCAGTTTCTGCTCCCGCCATGTTGAACGTTATAAACTCTCACTATGACGTGATGCACATGTGCAGAATGTACTTAAACTTTCTGATTGGGAATGTAATCAAATACAGCCGATTACATGTTTAATATTCTTCTCTTTAACAGATCATTTACAGGATTGCCCATCGTTCAAGCTCGGATAGACATGTATTCCAAATGGCCTCAATCAGACTAGTCTATTCTGACTGAGGTGTATACATGGACGTATTCTATTACATTTGAATACATATTACTAACGGATTATTAGGCTGCATGTAAACATGGCTACTGTAAATAAGGGGATAGGAAGAAGTTGATGAAATATATTGTTGAGTTACAGCTGATAAATTCATAATCTCTGTAATACATTGACAAATTGAAGACAGAGATGCTCCAAGACTGTGTTTTAGCACTGAATGTGATGGCGCTATGAAACAGAGGAACGATGTAAAAACAGAAAAAGAAAGATTTCTCTGTGGTACATCGCAGTGTCACCTGTGACATATAAAGGCTTCTGGGTAAATTCATCAGTGTCAGTTATTCTTCCCGTCACCAACGATCAAAACAGTCATTCTATCACTCTATCAGCGTGCACTACAGGAAATTCCTCTAGATCCCTGTTTGCCACTCAGCTCAGAAGCCTTAAGAGAGTCCATTTGAAGTAAAACTCTTGAATTGCTGGCATAACCGTCCCATCTAATTGCTTTCTAGACACGCTGGCGCTGTGCCAAGCTGTCCATACCGTACATCGTAACTATAATAAGCAATAATGTAGTCTACTGTTCACTATGAATTAGGAGCAGTAATAGTTGGACGTTATTTTATTACTGTTATAGTAACATGGTAACAGTTTCCGTGGCAAAAGAAGCTGCTGTTTTGACTGTAAAATGTTCTGGTTAGAGCCTTTCGAGCAGCCCTACAGCTGTGTGCCATTATTTTAATTCCACTCAGAATGGAGACGGGGCACTCCAGCACAAAATGGAGAAGATTCTTTTACTTTATGCATGTACGCATGACTTTTATGTATTGAAATGTTTCTGTTGCTGCTCCTCGTATGAAATATGTGGACAATTTCCTTTCTGACGTCGATAAAGCTGAGGAACGGAACAGGTAGGTTTCAGGGACTTATATTTGCCCCAGCGACAATAAATTCAGCATCATATGGCCCCTAAAGTCATTACACTTATTTATTACAGCCACTTCTCAAGCTACGGAAGGATCTTTCTGGTTTGTACACCAAAGTCTTCTCATTTATTGTGGAGGTGTTAGGCTGGCAGCAGTGCATTGAAAGCTATATTGCGTATGAGAATTACTCACAGCTGCTAAACAGAGGCTATATATGGTGTTTGAAAAAGATAAAAAGGATAAAAAGGCCCCCTATACATTCTCCTGTGTACTACAGCTATATTATACTGTACTGGATAAATGAAGGTGATGAGAGTGTGCGTTCCTATTCATCGTTGTGCATGTTTTTTGATCTCTTTGAAGCAGTGAGTTTGCTTTGTGGTAGCTTCATGGCCTTGTTTTCTCTCACCATAGACGCACCACACCTTAACAATTCTGCCAACCCTGTTCTCATTTGTATAGACACTGCGGTTCAGAGCTCAAACCAAAAAACCTGAACTCCAAAGCCCTCTAGAGTATTTTCATATAGTTAGTACTTGAGAAGGCCTAGTAACAAAGAGCAAGTTGCTTTGGTGTGTCATTTCGGTGCGTCGTTTGACGTGGCGTGCCGTTTCAGAGGGTTTGTTTGCGTCGCTTTGGCTCCCACATAAACAGAATCCGCCATGATGAAATGTATCAGACGCATCAAGAGGTCAGTGCATATATTCCATCACCAGAAAAGAGGAGAGGAGGAAAAAAAAAGGAAAAAAAAAAAGCCATTAGGGTTCATCTTCCTCCCCCAGCTCCTCTGCTAAAGAGAGATAGAGAGATCTGTTTTCATTAGAGTGCTTTAGAATGAGGTAGAAGGAAGCAGAGAGAGAGGAAGAGAGAGACTGTCAGTGGAAAGAGATGAGAAAGAGAGAGGGATGGTTGAGATAGGGAAAAAAAAGGAGGGAGTGAAAAATGGTTGAGTGAATGAAGAGGAAGAAAAGAGCACAGGTTTGAATGGAATGTGATCAGAACTCAGATGTTTGTAGGACTTTTTGAGGCTGTGGATGCAGCTTTCAGTCCATTAGGCGTCAGTAAGATTGAGCTTTTAAGCATGGAAATTTCCTTCGCCAGCTCATATTTCGTGTCAGGTTTTGTGCGAAAGCTAATTTTGATATTTGGTTACTCGATCGTTTCAGTGACTGAAATACAGGAGAGAAATGGTATTATAACATGATCCAGGATTGCATGTTAAAGGTAGTGCTGCCACTATTGATTGCATTAGTAAGTGAGTATTCTACTGAATATTCATCACTCATTGTCATGGTAGCCATAAAATGCAAGATCTGCCTGTTCTGGAGGAAGTGTGCAACTGAACTTTGCATTTTTTCTTCAGTAATGATGATGGAACATACTTGAAACCCAAAGCAAACTGGATTTTCGTCTTTGTAGGGCAGCAAGCGATTCCAAATTCAATTCATTGAAAGTGTTTTTATTGTGTTTAAATGTGATTTTTTTGTGTGAGTTAAACACATTTTTAATAGCATTAATATCTGTAGTCTATTTTATCTCTGCATGTCTGTTTTTGTGGGGAGGTGTTAAATATTCTCACCCTTCTTTCTCCTCTCATTGCTCACTAGCAGCGCAGCACACGTTCAGACTGTCAGAGAGAGCCAACATTGTCTTAGTCTGAAAACAGAGCTGCAGGAAAAAGATTTTATTTGATTATATTTTTCAAAACATTCAGATTCCATTCCACCAGGCAGCCTGCAGAAAGAGGATACAGTGGTGAAATTAAAATGAACTTAACTGAATTATAGCCCACGATATAAACCACGACCACCAGGCCTTTAAAAAAAATTGAAATAAAGAATATAAAAAACTAGGACTGTCAAAGTCAAAACATACATTAATAGCATGTTAATAATGTGTAAATGCTAAATTATTAATGCCACTAAGCCTTTAACACATTTCCCTAGTTTGACCCTTTGAACCATCCGTAGCAGCCCAAGCTGAAGCCCGGTTACTTGCATGCTGCATGTCGTTATGACAGACTCTGCTGTTGTAGCTCTCTCATTCAAATACAGCTTTTAAATGGCTTTTTAAAAGAAACATCTTGGCAGAGCGCACTGGACTACGGATAAATCAACAAGCAGCAAATTAACAAAAGCAATGGCATAGTGGAAATTACCCTTGTGGATCTTCCATGAGCTGTTTGAACAAGAGCGAGAGGCTGTGGTCACTGAGAAGTTGGAACATTTGAGTATATACATTATATGTATGTTACGTATGCTAATTGGTTGCAGCCGCTGTTGCTCTCGCTGGATGTTGGAGAGGAAAGAACAGAATATTCAGATTCACGTGATGAAAATAATGTTTGCATTAATAATTTAATTATTGAAGTGTCCACCAGGCTCTGTTACTTCAAAAAAGACCAGTAGGAGAATTTACAATTGCCATTATGCTAACAGCCCATTCATCACCTAGCTACATTTATTCGCTGATTGTTTTAAAAATCAAGATTAATCGGATAAACGTAACAGACC